GTAGAGAAAATCATATCAGTTCAACGTTTTAAACGATGCCCATTTTAGTCCTTATTCTTTCTCTTCTACATAACTGCCACATAATCGTTAATAACGGTTTCGATTTAACCACCACGAAATTCAAAGTGGAAAGCGACGTGGGAGCGAATACAAGAAGCTCCAGAGGTCAAAGAAGGCAACAATGACGTTTGCCACAAGAATTGTTTCTTCTGTGAGAAGTCAGATTGCAACGACGCGACCAAGTGTGCTCTCCGGATCCCATTACGTGGGGCGAATGCGCATTACAAGCCGAAATGGACTCTGCATTTCACGAAATTGCCTAAAAATCACGGAGGGCACCTCTCAAAGCCGAGGGTGCGATGCAGCTTCTGTAACGGGCCACATCCACGTAGCCTACTGCGAAGAATTGGAGCGCCAAGGATATCGCGGCAAAGGGATCAAGTCGTCACTAGACCAAGTTTCCCCATCACACCCATTTTTGTGCCATGTTCCAAGGAAATTTTTTTTCCCATCTGCAAACCATTAGGGCTCATTTTTCAATATGTTACACTCTTAAACATTAGTGTCAAGTTCATGCCAAGTTTTGGTGCCAAATTACATATTTATCACCAAGTTTCCCCAAAGTTCAACAAACGGGCGCAAGCAAAGGAAATCAATCAACAAATTTCCACGCCATCATGGCCAAGTTACAAAAAGTTCTTCGGGCAGGAAAATCCGGGCACGCGCCCAGATTTCTCGTCGGGGCGGAGTGTGGCGAGTGCCACTGCTCTGCAGTTAGTCAAAAATTCAATACAAGTTAAAGTTCGGAAGTTGGTGGATAAACTACCGTAATCAGTCACTTCATGATATTCAGCTGTCCGGTTGTTGTAGCTTGTATGCTTAAAAAACCCATTATTTAAGCTTTGCTTTTGAGTGAGTTTGTTGTTCTTCTTTTTGTGCTTTATCGTTCTTCTTTTTTGTGCTTTATCATTCTTTTTTCACATTCAAGTGTTGATTTAATTGTGATTAGTGCCAAGTTGCTCTATTTGAGTTCGGATGCTGATGTTTTGGGCTCTTTCAAAAGGGGCTACTCATTTCGATTGCCCAACACAACGCTCGGTTGGTTTACTCAACAGCGTTTACAGAGAAGAATTTTGCTCCCATTCTCAAAGGCACTCCTACCACCACCCGCGCGATTTTTCGCTCTTTTCTCTTTGAATCCGACCAGCACCACAAAGTTCAAGGCCGATTGTTGACAAAAAGAGGAGATGATCTAGTGATAAATTATGGCCAGTTTGAACAGGGATCAAAGTTACAAAAAACTACGAAATTTCGGTTGTGATCGAGGTGGACCGAATGCTCATGTCTAGTGATTTCCCCTTCTTTCAGATGAGACGAATTTCTTCCTCTTGCCCCTCACCAATTCGCTTCACTTCCGTGAATTCGGCTTTCGATTCGCCGAGTCGCCACGCGGAACGTGGTTTTCGATAGTTTCAAAATTCGAAACAATCCTGCGACTGAAAATTCCGCGGAGTAAGCAGATTTAACGTTTAGTTCCCTCTGGAGAACAGAGCAAATTTGACAGAGAAAGCCAAGTTATGGTCTTAAGTTATTTATTGCTTTCCACGATATGCAAAGTAGTGTTAAGAAAACATTGAACGATGATCAGAAAGAGTACTGGAGCAATGACCTCCCGTTTATTGCAGACATTTTCTGGTTTTCAACAAAAACCCACAAAAACTGTCTTTTAGGATCACGGGAATCGTTCGTGTGAGTATCACATCGTGAACGGGCTACCGTAACTTCCTTGGCCATCCGAGCTTCTAGTGAACACGAGCAGTTTTCAATTTCCGGCTAACATTTCAAACAGATTGTTCTCCTTGCTAAAAAGACACGTAATTTCTAGAACAACAGTCATCAAAGAATTAGTTTTAATTCAAGTGCTGGCTGACTAAGTATTGTGATTCCTCATCGATTGATACTATTAGGTTGGTAAAGAGGAAATGAGCGTCGTGTTTGTTGATCTGTATTTTATTCACAGTAAAAGATTTTTTAAATAGTTTATTGGATTGGAAAGAGCGTGTACTTGCGCATCGTTTGATATATAATTTGTCTCTGTTTACTTTGTTTTTTACAAGAAGAGTGTTTAGAAAATGTCGGACCAAAGAATTTCGCTTGCAGGCCTGCTTCTAGTATGAATTTAAGGCAAATCGGCTGCTGAAGCTCATCGCGCCCTACCTCAAGTGTTTGACGAAGATGCTCTATCCGAAAGTCAGTGTAAACGATGGTTCTAAGCGCTTCCGAGACGGCGACGAAAGCTTGGAAGACCAAAAACACGGAGTCGACCTCAAATCATCGACAACGACGCATTGAAGGAAGCCATTGAGCCGGATCCACGCCAAACCACTCGCGACCTGGCAGAACAGTTCGGCTGCTCCAAAACCGACTTCAAAACCGGACATCCACGGGAAAAGGTGATGCTTTGTGTTTGGTGGAACAGTAAAGTCCAGGTGTACTTTGAGGTTCTCGGATTCGGCTCAAACAGTTACGGCGATTCCCTACCAAGGCCAATTGGAGCAGTCGCTGCGACGTCAAGGTGTGAATGCGGTGTCGACAAAATTCCTCCACGACATCGCTCGGCCGCATGTCGCTAAAATCACCCAGCAGAAAATTGAAGAAATGGGCTGGGAAGTCCTGCCTCATCCGCCATTCAGCCCAAACTTGGCGCCTTCCGACTACCATCTGTTCCGATCAATGCACCACTCCTTGGCCGAGAAAAGTTCAGAACCACGACGAGGTCCAAATTTGGGTGTCCAACTTCGAGTCGCAGCCGGTCCGAGTTCCTTCAAGAAGGGCATCCATTCTCTTCGTGAACGTTGGCGACAAGTCATTGATGCAGTTGGCGAATACCTTCTAGTTAAATGTATTGTTCTCTTGTTTTTATAATAAAATAGACTTTTAACGAAAACGCGCATTTCTTTTTTACCAACCTAATAAAATTGAGCTGTTTGAATCATTGAGAATTAGACGAAGAGGTTTTTAGCCGATTTAGAAAGAGCACCCAAATTTCAAGTTCCAATTTTTCTTTAGTGATACCGATGTCTTTCAAGAGCAATTTCTCACATCTCCATCCTACAGTATCTACATACCACCTGGATGTGCTCCAAGTATCGCTCTCAGCACATATTACTGTAATTTTTGAACCAGTACTTTGCTTATTTCATATCTTTCTCGTACAGTAGACACCAAGCCGAACGTGACACTTTCTAATTGTGGTGGGACGTGGTGTTTTTCGAGGCTCTCGACGATCAAACAGGTATCCCGTTGAACACCATAGAAGCTGCCTATTTTTGCAGTCAAGTTTATTCTTTTTATCTTTTCTTTTCTTTACCTGCAGACATTTGCACTTAAGCTAGTCCGGCCAGATTCGGATCAGAAGTCGGAAAATTTGTGCCAGTTCGATTTGGTAGCAAACTGTGTGAAAACCATCAAACTTCTGGTATTAAATTTTGAAGATAACATAATAAGATAATTTTATTGTATTAAATGTCTCTTGTTATGTAGCAGCCAGATGAAACTTGATAACAAAAGCTGCAATGAGTGCTCATGGCTTAATCACAATGCACTGGGTGCTCAACAAACGTCATGTTGTTTTTCCTCTTCGATTAAAGGGAACATATACTGTTTGTTTTCAGATCTTTCCCCCGTCAACATATCGTTTCAAACAAACTCCTATTGGATTCGGTCAAATCTTGGTTCAATATTTGAAGAATTTCGGCGACGATTGGATAGATAGCGAGTTAGCTTCTTTAAAATACCAACTTATTTTTTGACTTTTGATTCAACTCTCTTTTAGCGTCAACACTACACTTTCGAATGTGCGAGAGGTTCAGGTAAAGGGAAAACAATAAGAAAATCGATTGTGATACTTCAGCTTTAATATTACATTTTGCCCAAGAAATACAAGAAATGCTTCCTGAAGCTTCATTTTGTTCGTTCTTTCGACAGTCGATTCGACGATCGATCACCGGTAACCCAAAATCCATCAAATCAAGCTGAGACATGCCCCAATCTCATCTCTTTTTTTACATTTACTCTTTCACTAGACATCTTTTTCTTTCTCAGCCTGGGTGGTAGCTTTTAAAAATTTTCAGCTCAAAACATTTGAACGTTTGTAGGCTGTAAGCTTCATATTTCGTTATTGATAACAGGTCGCTTTCTTTCCCATTCTGTTTAACTTTTATAGATACGTAACTACTGTGATAACCATTCATGAAATTAGTTAATCTGTCTTTTGCAAACTACACAGTTGAAATAAGTAACTTGTTTGAGTGATGAGAATAAACACTTTTTGCAAACGATTAAACTTATGAAAAAACTCTCAAACAAAAACGTTTTCCTAAAACTAAACTCAACTTTTTGCTCATTTTCCTGTCTTGATCACAAAGTTTTCCTATTCTTCTACAGTTTTATTGATCCAACGATAAACATTTCAAAAGAAGCACTATAAAACGTCTCACAAACATGGAATTGATCATTTACATTCAACAAAAATCCTATTTGATTCGATTTGATTCATTTCCGATTCGAAACCATGTCTTGAACAGGTTGCGCGCTGCTAACAAAACTCAAGGTATCTAAAAACTAAGGTGGCCGCCCCGTATAAACATGGGGCCGATCTTTCAGCTGTAAATTTCCAGAACGATTGGACAACTTTTAAGAAGTCTCCAGCGATTGTCAGACAGATGGAAACCATTTCGAAAATTCGGATAATATTGTTGCTCGATCCAAAATCCAAAACCGAATCGATCCAATTTTAGTTCTAGGGGTAAGAAAAGGTGAAAAAAACAATCGGCACGAAATCATTCAAAATTCCTTCTTGGAAGTTATGAGTTATGAGCACTTTTGTGGTGAAAAAGGACAGTTGGGTGGGGAGAAACCGAAGTAGCTAGCATGCAAGCGCTCTAGCTTCAACTTTGCTTGGCATCGGCCACTGAACAGTTATCGAAGCTTTAAGCTTGATTTCAAGAAATTTCCATTTAGTATACGTCAAAGATAATTGGGAATAGCATTCGAAAGACTGGAAGCAAAAGATGAGTGCCGAGTTTTGACGTGGAACTACGGATCTAATATGTCTTGGAGTCATTCTATATGCTTCCAGTGTGTTCCTAGAAATTCCCGACTCGATCGGACTCGTCGTTTTTCGTGATTTTGACAGTTTCGACCAAATTTTTGTCAAAAATAATCCTTTGTTATAAGTTTAAGCCGCCGCCAAGTCGTTTTTGGTAGCTTTTTGAAACATTCGTCGTCTGTATTTCGTCCAGAAACGATCGCTCCATAATTATTTTTATATAAAAGAGAAGATCTTGGGATTTCTCAAACTACTAATCAACCCGGATCACCTTTACTTACAAGCGTCGTATGGTGGCTTTTTTTGACCCGCAATTTCTTTTGCAAGTACCTGGTAAAACCCCAATATCTCGCAGCTCAGTAGGCATGAGCACTACAAACTACGAAGTCAGACTACAAACCCTTGTAAAAACGCGCAGAATGGATATTTTTGAAAACTTTTTTTACCAAAAAATTGGGCCAACTTTAGGCTTTCGAATGGCACCAAGATCAATTCAACCCGTCATTTTACTCCGAGAACCAGCCATTTATAGCTCGCCCCATGGGGACGAGACTACAAACCTGAAAAAAAAACGTTATATCTCAGTGTCGAGAACATTATTTGCCCATGTCTAATGATAACTTTCCACCCTAAAATTCTAAAATACGCCTAAGCCACCCTGCTCAGGTCGGTGTCTCCGTTTTCCCCCTGTAAAAAGAAGTTCCATCCCTTCAATAATTCTTTTTGAAGTATCGTCTTCTGCGCGTAAATGTCCATCTCACTCTACTGTCTTGTAAATTTTGTTTATTGTTAAAATTTCCCTTCCCCTTATTGTTTTCATCGCTCCTCCTGTTCCCTTCTTAAAATTGTTCAAGTTCTAAAGTTTTGTACTTTTCTCGGTTCTTTCCACTTTATTGATCTTCGAACCCGCGTCTTTCATATCACCGATAAAGTTATTAAAATCTAAACATCTCTTCTCTATAAATGCCAGTAAATCTAACCCAGCCGCGAATCGTCTCCCTCTCGTTTTGGCAAATCATTTGAGATTAGTGTTTCTGGGTTAAAAGATTTAGCAGTTTGGGTAAGGTTTCGACCCGGAATTTTGATATTTCAAACAGTAACACGTTGCTTTTTTATTCAAATCTCAAAGCTTCATTTCAGAAATGTTCTCCACAAACTCTCTACAAAGCCAACTCCTTGTGGTCATACATCGGTAGGCTGATTTTATTTCGAGGCGTTTTGTTATTTGAAATTTTTAGAGAAAATGAATTTCGATGAATGTGGAAAGTTGATCAAGAATTTTTTGATGGAACTACTTGAAGTGGAGCGATTCGCGAGTCTTCATCGACAACGTGGTGGGAAGATTGATGCGGAGAATTTTAACAATTGGTCCGGTCTCTACACAGGATGCTCGTCAATGCAAGAGCGACTGATGACAGGTTGGGTATTTTATGTAAAAAGTACTTTTACGGGAAACAGAAAAAGCTTGCGGAAATTTTAACTTTTGATGAGTTAAAAGTTTGGAATAATGAGCTTACAAACCTTTCGGAGCCTTGTAGCTTGTAGCAAAAGAAATCAGAAATTACGAATAGTTTCTTTGACATCAATGAAGTTTTTTAGCCAATGAACTGCCACAATATCATGCCATTCTGATCAAGGCAGTTGGCCGAGCAGACACCCAATACTTGACGAATAAATACGAGGAGACGATCAGCGATGTCAATCTGTTCAACTATTGGAGTGGTCGATTTGATGAGGTTAAACTGGCCGTGGAACAATTGGGATGTTTGAAGCGTTGGTTTTATTAAACTTTTGTTGAATTTTTGAAGTTGTTACCCAAGTTAACATGACACTCATCAACTTTAGAAGATGGACAATCTCCATCAGATGATCCACATCTTCACTTCGATATGTTCATAATGACCGCTCTTATTGGCTTTAGTTGGGATCTTTTTGAACAAATGAGGTAATCGAAAAAAGGGGGCGGGGTAGCCGTAAATATTGAATTTACAGGACAAGACGTGGAGAGAAAATCGAGAACAAGAGGGGACGAGCTTGGTGGGTTTTTATTTTTTGCTTATTTTTCATTCATTTCATTCAGTTTCTTTTTGAAAACACAAATTACTATCACCATTCAGGAATCCAACTGGTCAATCAACGTCCACAAAAGGCTACCTTTATATCGAAGCGAGCAGTTGACGACCGGTATGCAAAAGTTTTTAAAGAGAAACTGATTAAACGTCTTCAGAATCAAAATTTGCCACTTGTGGAATGGGAATCACAAACTTTTTTGGAAGATTTTCTCGGAAAAGAACCATTGAAGCAACTGAACAAGAAGCTCTCAATGATTGGAATCAGATTGTGATCGCTGGAAACGGACAAACGATGCGGCACAATTGATCATGCATCAACTCCACAAAACTCTCTGTTCGTCATTTTATTACTGATAAGAAGCTGAGTCCCTTACGTAATTAAAAGCCATTAGTTGTAATCAGAGTCTAAAAATGTTAAAAATTCTTTTCATTTCCATTTTCTCCCAATGAAGTGTCGTGCTCGGAGATCGACCGTTATTTGGCTCATTTGTTTGACGAAACTCTCCTCAAACTTCTCTATCAACGAATCGATGAACTGACCAGTGACATCTCCCATTTCATGCTATGGACTGATCGTTTCGAAAGCGTTCACCAAGCTATACATCGAAGTAAAACGGAAGGTATATTATGAGTACCGTGTCTGATTTGAAACGTGTTTCAGCTTTATCCGATCTATCTCGTACTTCCGAGCTGCGCTTTTTTCGTTCGCTAACCAGCTTCTCCGTGGTTTTCTTGGTTTGGAAATTTTGCTTCTGGAAGAACAGGTGATTGGAATGAATTTTAAATTGATAAGACTTTTGTAAAGTAAAAATTCAGTGATAAGCCTATAATGATTGTTTTTTCAGCATGACATCGACGTTGGATGTGCCAAAAGGGGTTGTAGAGGATCCACAGCGATATGTTCTCAAGTTTGTCGTCGATCTTCTCACCGACAAAAAGCCGTGGCGATTTTGGGGAAACTCGGTGGCTCGGGGAACGATTGTGCGAAACATGAACGCTATATCAAAGTGATCAAGAGAATCGATGAATTGAGAGAGAACTCACAACAACCGGTCAAAGGTTTGTTCTAAAAAATGTATCTAATTAATTTTTTTAGTTGCCATTAAATATTTGACAAACGTCTTGAGCAAGGATCTACTTGATTACATCATGTTGAAATGTAGGGAGGCTACCAGTAACAGAGAAAACTATATTTATTGGAATCGACGGTTTGCGACGGCTGGCATGGCTATGGAACGACTCGAAGGTGTGTATTCGTAAAACCCAAAAACTTTGCAATTCTTATAATTGTAACTTTCAGAGAACATGTGTCAGTACAGTGTTTCGCCGGTGTCTGCTCTCTTCTTTACAATCATCATCTGCTGGGAGCTCAGGTAAGCAGCATTTAAGTGATAGACAAATGAAAGCTCTGAAACCGCTTTTTTTATCAATCGTCTATTTTTTAGAGATGAAGTGGGCGAGATCAAGCCATCGACAACAACGAGTTCAGCTGATGAGTGAGTACAAGAACTAAATATTCAAATTATAGCAATGATACATAACTTTTCTTGTTTTTAGAGAAGAAGTCAAGAAGAAACCAATCACGAAACCGCCACAAAAGGATCGACAAAAGTGAGATGAATTAGGGAACTCAAAACAAAGAAATTGGTCATTGACAACGTTATTTTTAAAAATTTTCAAGATCCATGCAGTAAAGATGCTCTTAACTCAATTGTTCAGATTACGCTTCACCCCGTGGACCCCCGCGCCTCTTCCCGAAGCCCCATCACCTCCACCCGCCCAATCAACCCCACAACCAGAGTTCACCCAGAAGCGATGTGTCACTTGTGGAAAAGAGTTCACTTATGAACTCGAGAATTCTTTTGGTATTTGATTTTAAAAGAATACTCAACTCAAATCTTACAGCTTGAATGCAATCACACAGTCCCCAAATTCTTCGCTCATGAGCAATGTTTTGTCAAGGCTCTCAAAGAACAAATCCCGAGTCTGGATGGAAGAAAAAGAAAGGTGAGTGGAGGAAATACAATGGGCACAGAAAAGTTGAATGGTTTAGGATTGGAAGAAGGCGTTGTGTGTGGAAGATGGATGTAAGGGACATCTTCTCTTCTGTGATAAAGTCATCAAAGGAGTCCCACATGGAAATGTGAGTTTCAGAATGAGTGACACAAATCGGGCGTTATCTAGCTAGACGGTGAAATGATTATTCAAATCATTATTTTCAGCCGATCCTCTACGATGACTGAATGCTCTTCTCCTGAATAAATTTGTCGATCTTCATCAACCATTAAAATAACATTGATACATCAAAATCTTTGTGATTTGTTAGTCTAACCTCATCGAGTTTCCTTTGACTGACTAATCGTTTTTCAAGTTTTTAAAATACTTGTTGTTTGTTAAATATTGTGTGGGTTTTTTATTCACTTCAGTGTTCAAAACACTTATATCAAAGTCACAAACAAAACTAAAAGAAACTAAAGTCATTCATTTCGTGATTTTACATAGATAGGCCATATATTTCACAAAAAGTGATCATTATTTTGTTTACTTAATGTTGTTGAAGTTATGTAAAGTTTTGATTTTGTTTTTATTTAAAATTTTTCAATGTTATCTAAATCTCTTCTCAATACCGTTCAAGCGTTTGATGGACTTTGTTTAATTGAATAAAAGTTTACAACTAAACGTGCTTAAAAGATTTTTATACTAAGCAGCTATAAAGTTATAGATATAGAAAGAGTTAAGCAGATCCCACTGGCGTCACTTGTTGTAGACGGACCTTTCGTTCGGCTCGTTTCAAAGCATAAATCGTGTGAGCTCTGGAAAATTTGGCCCAATTTTGAAGTCACAAACAAGGATTCCGCACAGTCCCAATTTCGATATTGAAAGATCCATCGTGAAGTTTTTTTTTTTCTTTATATAGCATTGAATATTGAGTATTTTGAAAACTTACCAGTTCGATAATGTAGAGCAACTGTATTGATTGATGGTTATTGCGCCATTCCACAAATCAATACATAACTAAGCACTTTTTAGCCAGTTACTCAACAACTCTGAATGCAGCTAATCGGTTATACATTGAACTGTTTCAGAATCGAAATTCTTTCAAGGATTTAGCTCCAATAAACGAAGATTTGACACAAAATTCGATAGGTTAAACAAATTTTGATTTGTTTATACAAAATTTCGGCGGAACAACGCTTAATGATGGCTGTCACACTACAGTTGCTCTACATTATATAAATATATGAAATACACAGAAGGCTTTTGAAGTATTTGATGTCTGATGGTGAATTTGAAACTCGATTTGCTTATATTGTTATGATTTTGTTAAATTTAGGCCAGCCGAGGAAGGATAAAGACCACGACTGCGTCTTAATGGATGGGAAAACGCGTTTGTGGCATGCTAATCTTTGTGATATCTATAGTGCATGATTAAAATCTTCCAGAAATTCTCTCGTCCAAAAACTTAACGAGAGTAGGTCCTCTCATTTTCTTTGAGGAGACAAAAATTGAAGAATTTCTGAAATTGCTTGAGGAATATTTAAAGGGGTACTCCGGCTCAAGGAAAGTCAGTGTTAAATTGGGCCCTCTTTTTCACGTCTTCTTAAATCTGATTTACAACTTTTAAACATTATTCTTTAAGAATGTAATGTTTTCTATTAAAAAAACAAAACATATTTAGGATTGCTGTTAAATTTGAGAAAATACATACAAAAGAAAAGAACGCAAAGGCTAAGATGCAATTGAATGGAACCTTTATATACTTTTGCCCAAATATCCACGTTTTAGGGAGGGGCGGAAAGCAAAAAATCGCATTTTTGTTCATTTCTCAATTGGAAACCTTGTTTTTCATGTAGGAAATAGTTGTAGAGGAGACTAAAACGCATCGAATAATATATAAATGAACGCGATTCTTGAAAGTCAACTTTTAGGCCATATCCCTTTAAAGAATCACCCGGTTTTTTAGATCAAATTTGCGGATAACCAAAAAAATTTAGGAGCTCAATCACTTGAAAAATCCGCCAAAGGTAGAATTGGCAGAATTGGCCAAGGAATATTTGAAAAATCACTCTAGCACAAAAATTATGAAATTTTTTCAGAAACCAATCGGTGTAGGTGTCTCTATTTGCATTGAAAATAAACTAAAAGAAGTGTTCAAAAGATTTGTCGAGGAGTATTGAAAGAAGCACGGTTTGTTCTTTTGGATGTGAAAAAACTTCGAAAATCAAGGAAGCCGTCATCACAGGAGAATGATTTGGAGATAAATGAGTGAAAATGAATGTTTTGTAGACAAGCACACAGTCACAGTTTAGCACAAATTTTTGTTTATAAGATTTTGAAACAAAAAACGGATTTCTATTTGTTCAAGTTTTAGAAATTAAAGAGAGAATTGGCTAGTTCGTTGTCGTTCTCGTCGTTTTTGTCGTTGTTTTCTCCCCTTCTCGCGGCCAGAGATAGTGGAGAACGAAAATGCTGTAATTAGAATGAATTTTACAGTGACAATAGAGCTCATTTGATTTTGAGAGTTCAAATTTACTTAACAGGACTCTTCAAAAAGAAGTCAACTTACGTGACAACGATCTGGGCCACGGTGTTCGCCTCAAATGCACCAAAGTGAAACTCTTCCGACCAAATGTCTTCTCCATTTATTGTGTTGAATTTGTTTCTCATACTGTTCCAACATCCACTAATCATTGTGATCAACTCAACGAAATGAGTCACTATTGCCTAAAATGTTTTTCGACTTTCAATAAATCGAGTTTCCCAACCGTTCTAGCCAATCTTTTGTCTCCATCTGTTTTCATTGAAGAGATTGCTTTCTGAAAAAGAGTTTATGCTATTCCCTTTTTCTTTTTCTAGTTTATTCCTAGGGAAATATGAAAAAATATTGCTTTTTTGCCAAAAGTCGACCTACCAGAGCTTTGATTTTCAGATAGACAGCCGAATCAAAAGTTGTATTTAAGAGAGAGATAAAGAGAAAGAAAGATTCTAAATAGTCAATCCAACGACGAAAGAAGGGAGATGATCCCCAAGGTGGTAGAAGGATTATGAATGGAGGATTGAAATATGAGCCACTAATATAGGGAACGGGGAGACCGGGAGAGTATTCGAGTTTCTCTGAAAACGATTCCTAGTCACGGTGTCTCTTGTACCACTTACGGATTCGAATGAAGTGACAAAAGGCAACAATTACTAAGAAAAAAGTGATTGGTAACGAGTAATTGATGTATCTTTTGGAGGCTGTGTAATAGCGGCCATCGAAGAAGACGGCAAAGATGCTGAAATGGGATAGAAAATCAAACAAAATGCTAATGATTGCTGCTTGTCTTTCGCTGTTTTCAATTTCAATACGCTCAAAGAGAATAAAACAAAGTATAATCGAAGTAAACGAAAAATGAACCTAAAACTGATTCTAACTCAGCTTCGGCTTGTTTTCATTGTTTGGTTTCAATTGATAGATAAAAACCAAGGTGATTCATACCGATTTACAGACAAACATCCTTCAACCATAATCATCCATCGAAGAAAGATCTCATAAGTGGTTGTGTAGCCAAAATTGAGAAGATTTGGAGTTGAAATGTTGAGAGTTCTGTTGTCGGGCAGCCTATAGCCTGGCGTTGAATCGTAACAGAAAGATGATCTAGGGGAATCTTGTAAATCCAATCACTTCAACTCACTTCTGAATGCAATAAATCATTGGGATTTTGAGTAGAACTTGAATGATACGAATGAGAGACAAGAGAATCATTAACAGTTTCACTGATTCAGCAATTGAGCGTTTCTTTTGGAGTAAAAAGAGGAGAAACGAGTTGAAGAATATGATGAGAAAAGTCGTCTAAACGTTGTTTTGATAGCTCATGATTTGTTTTAAGCTCACCGTTGACATAATAATCATTACGGTTAACATTTCCATTTTTTGGTAGAGAAAGAAAAGAAACAAGCAAAATAAAATACGGTCAATGGTAGATAATTCGTAAAAAGCTCCTTTTCTTAGATTTTTCTTTAAAAATTGCCGCTGTGTGGCCAAACTCGAGAAATTACAAGTTCCTTCTAGCGCCGTGTACCTCAAAAACCACGAAAAGGTTACCGATAATTAGATCCGAATATAGCAGGAAATCAATCAGCTGATTTTTTTTCTGCGATTCTTGGTATACAAAGCATCAAATTAAAACAAAATGATAGTTATCAGCGAAAAAAATCCCTTGGAATCGGCCTCGATTGTTACCTTTAATCAGCCCCCTTTAAAAATCAAGGTCATGCTGTTTTTTATGCTCACTGTTGACATGATGATCGTCACGGTAAACATTTCCATCGAAAAAGCAAACAAACAAAATAAAATAGGCTCAATAAAATACGGTCAACACGTAAAAAGCTCCTTCCAACCGGTCCCTAATTAGATTTTACTTTAAAAATTGCCGCTTTGAGGCCAAACTCGATAAATTACAAGCTCTTTCTAGCGCCGTGTACCTCAAAAACCACAAAAAGGTTACCGATAATGAGATCTTTCGAGTCCTTTTTTTCAGATTTATGATTCTCTAGGAGAAAGAGCTTTATAATTTGGCTTTGAAACATCAACTTTGAAACATCTTTTGTAAAACGTAGCCAACAAGTTGTAAACAGTTTAAGAAGTAAACACAAATAAAGCTTCGGTCGGAGCCATTTTTACATGCTATTTGTAGACGAAAGATGGACCTTTCCTGGCTGTATCGAAACGATGAACGACTCAAGCCGTATTTGGTGGCTAAACAAGCAAAAGCCACTCGTCTCAATGATTTCTATACTCCAATCGTTTTTCAAATACTTCTTCCAGTGAATAATCTTTATAAGCATTCAATATGCAAATTTCAGGCAGCTATCATCGAATTGATTGCAGGGATTTTATGCTTATTGGGAGTTCTATTGAATAGAAAGCACTTATCAAAAAGCCTTACGTTACTCATCCTAATCGAGGCTTTCGTCTTTATTTTTGAGAGTTTTGTCTTTGGGTATCAGCTTGTTTGCAATGAAAAGTGAGTTTTTAAGAGACCCAAACCAATGATTGAGTTTTCAGTTGGTTCTGTCACGAATCGATCATTTCAATGTCAATCAATCAATGGATCACGAGTCTGCATCGAGGTTTAGGCTGCAGTTTGTGGATGTTTCAGATGGGTATGGCTGTTGAGTGGTGAGTGAATGGGATTCCTTTGGATATTTGTGGCCAACTGGTGAACTAGGCTTGTTAAACTTGAAGATCACTTGAACACATGCCAATTCTTTCTGATCTTTGTCCCAACAAATGCCCAACAAATGAGTGCTTATGTATCAATTGAAGTTCACAGGATCTTTGTGCTCTTTGTGAACGTAATTAGTCACAATCTACAATGAAAAATGAAGAAATCATCGGTTTTTCAATGATTCAGTGCTCTCACCGTTCTCTTTAACAATCACTACCACCAAAGCTCTCTCAAATATTTTCTTCTCTTCATCACATCAGTGACAATGATTCCATCAATTTATTTCAAACTTATCAATAGATATGATAAGCCTTGTGGGTTCTTTTTCTTCTTTGCAAACAACTCCTTCAGTTGGTATGAAAGTGAAGCTCTTCATTGGCTACTCTTATTATCCGAATGTTTATTATGAATCAACGCAAGAGAAACTTTACGAGACAATTTGGGAGTATTTTGCTTGGAGAATTCGTGTCTTGGTCACTTTGTTGACAGGAGTTTTGGCTTTGATGACAGCTGTAAAAACGCGGAGAATGGTGCATTAATTGACTTGTACAATAAAAAGCAAATAAGAAAATCGTTCTTTATTCTTTAATTCCAGGAAAGTGCTGACAAATCTGATCAAAAAGCCAACAAATTGCTCTTTCCCTTTACTGTAGCGGCAAGTCTTTGTACTTTTTATTCATTTTTCATTTTTTAGCAATCCATTACCAGTCTTGTGTCACTTCTATCCCTTCTGCCAGAGTATTATCTGGATGATTATCTCACTCTGCCCATCGACGTCGATCCACGAACCAACCAACAAATCAACCCAATCTACCGATTCATTGGATGGACAGCTGCTCCGGCCTACTCAAATGCTCTTTCGATGTTTGTTTTGTAAATTTGAAAATCTATGGGAATTTACAGCTTGCTAATGGCCACCTCGCTGCATGTTGGTGCATGGAAGAGTCGGGGAAGGCTTTGAAAACCAACGATTCCATTTTCCAGTCCCCTTTACGAACAATAAGTGTTCTTAACTTTTTGTAGACATTAACGAGAAATAAATTAAAAGTTTTTTCTTTTGTATCATAACATACGCCTCAAAGTTTGGGTGAATCAGTGACATTTTCGTTGATTTCATACATGAATTCCTCGTTTTTCAACCTGTTGCCCATAAAAGTTGAGGGGAATCATTGTGAGACTCGAGCTCCAGATTTCGTCTTTTCATTTTCATCTTTCCAAGACGAAGCCCTATCCCCTCCCGCGAAACACTCAATCAACGTATCATTGCACCAAAATGAGAACAGTCTGTGCCATGACATCTCCATCGATATCGGGCAAGTTCAGCTCGAATTTAATCGGATACATCCCAAGGACCCAATTCGGTTGATGAATATTGTGAACGATTGCATAAATGACTGAATGAGAAGTGATAAGTTATATATTTTTCCTAAAACTCTAGCAAGTTTGCAGTTCAACAAACCCGTCAGAGAGAAAGCGATAGCGAGAACGATGATCGAGGACAAGAAATTGTCAATGATGGTAAGATAATCCGAGATAAACAGTTCAAAATTGCTAAAGATGCTGTTGACCGGTGTGATCTGGCTGTGGGATGGAACGATTCACACGTTTGCATGGTATTGGCCTTTCATCGGCTATGGTCGTTTCTTCTTTTTGAAGGGTTTACCCATGATCGGTCATTGTGCGATGAGGTTTATGAAAAAACAAGAAGAAATTGAACCTTCAGTCTGATCATCGTCGCCTTCAACTTGTCACCCATCAAAGAGAGTTTCTATTAAGTTGAGTGCAAGGAGTTGATTTCAAATTTATTTTTGCCATTTTCACATTGATTTTTTTAAATGCCTGTAAAAAGATGTGACTTTTGAGAAAATTCAGAAAAAAACAATAAAATTTGCAGAAAGCTGTCTTTCTTCAGTTGTTTATTTCACGTTTTCTTCATTTTCCAATACTTTATATGTTTATAATACATTTTCCAATACTTATTGTTATTCTTGTTGTCACCGTTCTGCATTTGACTCTATAATTTCAAATTTAGTAACAAAAATAAGTGCACCTTTTCTCAAAAACACAATTCCCTACTAAAATATCTAATGTTAATCTTTAGTTTATTTAAAAAGACAAGAGGTTGTCTCTATCATACAAATAAACTTTTTGCCAACAATAAAATGCAGTTCCACTTCTCGACGATCGCTCAAAGTGACGATTGGATACGTAATTGAACTTTACTATAAAAATTGAAACGGCTGGTTCAATCTCTAGGCCCAAAAATTGTTCAAACGGTCAACAATGGGAAAACCATCGTTTTTAACAGTGACACAAAATGGATCAATGGGACACCAGAAAAGAATAGGTGAGTGGGAAAGAATTAAAATGAAGAAAACAAGAGCAAGAGCTTCAGCGCAAACACATTCTATCTCCGTTTTGCAACTTTGCATGCGATCGGTCACGAGCTCGGATTTGACCATTCACCGCAGAGCCGATCGGCGATGTAGCTGATTTGTTTTGAGACATGATAGCTGAACTGTTTTTAACTCAAATTGAAACTTTAACTAGGACTGGAAAGCAAATTGAAACAAAAAGCAAGCAAGTCGTTTGTACAGAAGCGATCCTCTCTCAGCTACAAACAACGTGATTTGGATCAACGTGATGTGGAGAAGGCAAAGAAATTCTACGGTACAATGGGTTATGATGGAGTGGCCGCATTTTGGGGCCCATTTGTTAAAATTTTAGATACCCAGAGATTTTCACATAGCGATAAAGACAGTGAATCGTGAAAAGCAATAAAGACATCACAAAAGAAATACTGTAGAGCTGGAAAATCGCATTTAAATTTTCATTCCAAATCTTTAAAATCTAAACCTGGATGGCACAAAACGAGACCCAGTAGCCGAAACGGGCACAAGAATAACTGAAGGCGAGAAATCCACTTGAATCGATCAGGATTCCCTGAATGCGATCGGAAGTCGAGAAAGTTTTGCATTGGGAAAGTTTGAGGAAAATTTCGTAAGTGTAAACTCGGAACAAGATTGGGGAGTTGTTTAGTGTTAGATTAAAGTTTTGAGCTAATTTACATCATGTATGGCTGTTCTGGAACTCAATTTAGTCCCTTCTCATTTTTAACCCCTTCACCTTCAAAGGCTTTGTACCAGTAACACGCTTCAGAACAAGATTGGGAACTTTTTAGTGTTTAGTTAAAGTTTCATGCTTATTTTCCCCATGCTATGGTTGTTCTGGAGCTCACTCTAGCTCCTTCTCTTTCTTTTTCACTCATCTTTATACAGATTTAAAAATCTGTATAAAGTAACTCGGAACAAGATTGGGAAGCTGTCCAGTGTTCGGTTAAAGTTTTGAGCTAATTTACACTATGTATGGCTGTTCTGGAAGTCACTCTAGCCCCTCACATTCTTCTTAATTCCTTCACCTTCAAAAACTTTTTATCAACTATCAGCTCCCAAACAAGATTGGGGAACTATTCAGTGTTCAGCTTGACGTTTCGATCCATCCCATATCCTATGGCTGTTCTGGAACTCACGTTTGTCCCCTCTCATTTTTAACTCTTCTTTTTTCAAAATCTTTATAACAGTATCAAGCCCTAGAACAAGATTGGGAAGCTATTCAGTGTTTAGCTTGAAGTTTCGATCCATCCTTTTATGTTATGTCTGTCCTGGAACTCACTCTAGCACCCCTCATTCTTCTCAACTCTTTTGCCTTTAAAACCTTCGGATCAGGTATCAGCTCTTGAACAAGATTGGGAGGTTACTCAGTGCTAGATTAAAGTTTTAAGCAAATTTACTTCATGTATGGCTGTTCTGGAAGTCACTCTAGCCCCTCACTTTTTTCTTAGCTCCTTCACCTTCAAAAGCTTTTTATCAAGTAAGAACAAGATTGGGAAACTGCTCAGTGATTGGATTAAAGTTTCGATCCATCTTATTATGCTATGTCTGTCCTGGAATTCACTTTAGCCCTTCTTTCATTTTTAACTCTTCTTGAGCATCCCAATCTTGTTCTGAGTTGATACTTATACAGAGTTTTAAATGTGGAGGAGTCAAAAGAAAGCAAAATCAGCACAAAACTCTAGCTAAACACAAAACAAAATTCTCGAATCTTGTTCCAAGTTTCCAATCGAACTCATACTTTACTGCGTGGGTATCCCAAAAAAACAGAAAAATCAAGTTAAATAGCTCAACAACGCAGTGAGATAGAGTCAATCTCGTTGTGAATGTGCGAAGCAGCCTCTGAGAGATAGAAAAATGGTGGGACGTGTGTTTAAAGGTTTTTGATATCTAGCAGTCTTCTTTCAATTGACATAACTTTCACTAAGTGAACGAAAATGGGCTATTCTTGGTATAATCTGAAAATCGTACCGATTGAGACAAATTTTCAGTCGTGTTACGACCGGCGAGCGTTGGTGTCATGACGAGCATGTTTGTGATTGTGTGAACGTAACGTGCCTGTACGTGAATTCTAGTGACCACATTAACCATAACAGAAGCCTCTCAAAGGGGAAATACTCAAAACAAAGCCCATATTAACTTTCTATTAGAAAGTTGTTTTGATTAAACACTTATGTTTTAGCACCAACTCGTGTTTCATCGGTCAATAAAAAAACAATGATACTTGAAGGGAAAAATAACTTTTTTTATTGCACAAAAGTCTGCAAAACAAATCAATGCAGAGCATAAAATGAGCGTTTGTCGTTGACAGATTAACCAATCAATGGTTTTCACATGTTCATTGGGGACTTTCTTTTCAATTCCTCTGTTCCCTTTTGAATTTCTTTTACTGTTTCCATTGTGTCTCATTTGAGTTTTGCAATCGACTGAAGCCAATTAATTTTTTCAATTTTGATGTATCTCCAAAAGAATTCCTCAGTTAAACGATAAAATGATGGCTTAACTAAGAACAATAGCAAACAAAAATCTCAAATTTCATTCCTTTTTGATTCTTCAGATAGCGTCAATGACTTATGAATGGTTTAAAGTCGATCAGCGAGCAGGGCTTTTCACATCGGAAAGTGATTCGGGAGCGGTGCGTTTTGGAAAAACAAAAACAACAATCTGAGCCTTTTCTAAAACATATGCATACATCTTGAGCTCACTTTTTTCATGAATAAATTATAATTATTATATTAGTACGGAAATGGGGAGTTTGTTGTGAAAAATGTCACAATGTTTCATGTGCCTGTGCAGGGATCGAATTTGGATCAAGGTTCTGCTGGGGTGGGTTATTTGTGCTTGAAAATTGATATTTACTTATTTTCGGTGATTTATTTTATAACAATCAAGCGAGAACCGAGCTTCTACATTTATGTGATCACAATCCCTTGCTTTCTCTTGACTTTTCTATCAATTGTTGGATGTTTTTGGACAACTAATGTGAAAGAGCGTCAACTGGAAAAGGTTCTGCGCGGTTTTTTTTGAGGAAAATCAAATAAAGTCTTTCAGTTGGCAATTGCTTTGACAAGTATGATGTCGATGACAACATTTGTCGATATGGTTTCCCAACAAATGCCCAAGACCAACGATTTTCCTTTATTAGGTAGAGTGTTGAACGATAAAACAGGGACTGATTAAAACAGGTCACTCAAGTTTTTTTTGCTTTTCAAGGCTATAATTTAAATGTATTCTTGGAGTAATAAGGGTTTCACGGTTTAAAAATAATTATATAAATGTTAGGTTACTAAATCTGACTAAAAATCTAGCTTCGAGATAGACCCCAAAAATCAGAGATCTAATTTCAGGTACATTTGTCCTCATTTGTGTCTTCATCACTTCAGCCGCTTGTGTCTTCGTTGTCAGCATAAGTGAAAAGGACGCAGAAAAAGAAAAAGAAAAAACAAAAACATTGTAAGTTTTTATATCCAAAAATATAAAACTCGTCACCATTTAGAAGTGGATTGGAAAGGCTGCGGGAATTTCTGTTCGCAAAGCATTTTCTCCTGCTTCTACTCTTTCAAGCGGGAAACCTCGTCAATTTGATTGTATTTTTATCGTTTTGGGACTGAATACAGAACTTTGATGAGTTGCTAAAACTACGTTATCGCGCTTTGTTCGACAAAAAGCGTAACACAAGTCTACCGAACAACAATAACCAGTGATTTCTAAATGGCAGAACGTGTAAAAGGATTTAGTGTATTTAATAGCTTTACCTGCAACAAATCGAAAATCTAAAACACTAAAAGTTTATATCCAATACAATGGTTGTTCTGGAGCTCACTCTAGCCCTTCTTTTTACTCCTCTACATTTAAAACTCTGTATAAGTATCAACTCGGAACAAGATTGGGACGCTATTCAGTTTTAAAACAAATTTTGAGCCAATTTTTGAGCTTTCCAGGGCTGTCCTGGAGCCCACATTAAATTCTTACAACTTTCTTAACGTGTTCCCCGTCAAATATTGTATCTAGCATCAGTTAGAGAACAACATTGGGAAGTTTTTTCGCGTTAGCCAGAAGTTTTTAACTATTTCTCGACGTTCTTGATTGTTCTGGGACCCACATTATATTCTAACAATTTTTTCTTACTTCCTTCAAAAGCTTTGTATAAGTATTAAACTAAAAAAAACACATCGGGAATCTGTGTAGAGTTTAGATTGAAATTTTCATCTATCGCATCAGAATATGGCTGGCCTGGAGCTCGCTTTAGTCCCATTTCTTCTCCATTTAATTAAAAAAACAAAACTGAAGTGAAGGTGTCATGAAGAGTCAAAAAGTTAATAAGAATGAGCGGGGCTAGAGTTAGGTCCAGAACAGCCATGCATGATGTAAATAATTTCAAAACTTTAATCTAACACTGAATAGTTTTTCAATCTTGTTTAGAAATCGAAAAACCGAAAACATTTCAATTAAGTCAATGTGGTATTGTTTTGATTCGCTGAATTCTCGTAGAAACCAGTTTCCTGATCCGCTTCACCAAGTATATCGTAACACAACGGAAATTTCGTTTTTTTTGTTTTTATACAAACTAATCAGCTTTCCAACATCTCCAACTAACCCTTGAAAAACTGCCCCATCGAGCATGATAGCAAATTCCGAATATAATATCAAAAATCGGAGAAAATTGGAAACCAACTCATAAAACTGACACAAAGATTTTGAAAAAAAAGAGTTAAAAATGAGGGGGATTAAAGTGAGTTCCAGCACAGACATAGCATAATAAAATGGATCGAAACTTCACACTGAACACTGAATAGCTTTCCAGTCTTGTTCTCGAGCTTGATATTTGATAAAAAGCTTCTGAAGGTGAAGGAGCTAAGAAAGGTGAGGGACTCGAGTGACTTCCAGAACAGCCATACATGAAGTAAATTAGCTTAAAACTTTAATCTAGCACTGAGCAACCTCCCAATCTTGTTCAAGAGCTGATACCTGATCCGAAGGTTTTAAAGGCAAAAGAGTTGAGAAGAATGAGGGGTGCTAGAGTGAGTTCCAGGACAGACATAACATAAAAGGATGGATCGAAACTTCAAGCGAAACACGGAATAGCTTCCCAATCTTGTTCTCGGGCTTGATACTGTTATAAAAATTTTGAAAAAAGAAGAGTTAAAAATGAGAGGGGACAAACGTGAGTTCCAGAACAGCCATAGGATAATAAAATGGATCGAAACTTCAAACCAAACACTGAATAGTTTCCCAATCTTGTTCTTGAGCTGATACTGATACAAAGATTTGGAAGCAAGAATAGTTTAAAATGGAAAGGGGGGGGGGGGCTAAAGTGACTTCCAGGACAGACATAGCATAATGAGATGGATGGAAACGTCAAGCTGAACATTGAATAGTTTCCCAATCTTGTTCGGGAGCTGATACTTGATAAAAAGCTTTTGAAGGTGAAAGAAATAAGAAGAATGTGAGGGGCTAGAGTGACTTCCAGAACAGCCATACATAATGTAAATTAGCTCAAAACTTTAACCTAACACTGAACAGCTTCCCAATCTTGTTCCGAGTTACTTTATACAGATTTTTAAATCTGTATAAAGATGAGTGAAAAAGAAAGAGAAGGAGCTAGAGTGAGTTCCAGAACAACCATAGCATGGGGAAAATAAGCATGAAACTTTAACTAAACACTAAAAAGTTCCCAATCTTGTTCTGAAGCTGGTTACTGTTACAAAGTCTTTGAAGGTGAAGGGGTTAAAAATGAGAAGGGACTAAATTGAGTTCCAGAACAGCCATAGATGAAGTAAATTAGCTTAAAACTTTAATCTAGCACTGAGCAACCTCCCAATCTTGTTCAAGAGCTGATACTTGATCCGAAGGTTTTAAAGGCAAAAGAGTTGAGAAGAATGAGAGGTGCTAGGGTGAGTTCCAGGACAGACATAGCATAATAAGATGGATCGAAACTTCAAGCTGAACACTAAATAGCTTCCCAATCTTGTTCTCGAGCTTGATATTTGATAAAAAGCTTCTGAAGGTGAAGGAGTTAAGAAAGGTGGGGAACTAGAGTGACTTCCAGAACATCCATAAATGATGTAAACTAGCTCAAAACTTTAATCTAACACTGAGCAACCTCCCAATCTTGTACTCAAACTCAAAATTTCAATCTAAACTCTGCGCAGATTCCCAAACTTGCTTTTTAGTTTAATACTTATACAAAACTTTTGAAGCAGAATAGTTAAGAAAAAAAAATTGGCAGAATATAAGGTGGGTCCCAGAACAACCAAGAACATCGAGAAATAGTTAAAAATAGCAGGCTAATGCGAAAAAACTCCCCAATCTTGTTCTCGAACTGATGCTAGATACAATGTTTGACGGGGGACGAGTTAAGAAAATGTAAGAATTTAATGTGAGTTCCAGGACAGTCATGGCAGGATGCAAATTAGCTCAAACTTTTTTTTGAAACTGAATAGCGTCCCAATCTTGTTCCGAGTTGATACTTATACAGAGTTACAGAGTCTTAAATGTAGAGAAGTAAAAGGTAGGGCTAGAGTGAGCTCCAGAAAAACCATTGTATGGGAAAAATAAGCACAAAACTCTAGCTAAACACTAAAAAGTACCCCATCCTTGTTCCAAGTTTCCAATCGAACCCATACTTGGTAACGCTTGTAACGGTGAAGGGGACAAGAAAAAAATGAGAGGGGCTAAAGTGCGTTCCAGAACAGGCATGCTCTGGAAAAATGATACATGATGTTTATCAAAACTTTAATCTAACACTGAGCAGCTTTTCAATCTTGTTTGGGAGCTAATACTTGATGCATTTGCTTGATTTCAACGTGCGTTTTCAACGTGATAGAAATACAAAGTTGCTTATTTATTATATTTTCAGTAAACTAAACAACATTTATTACATTCATCTCATATATATAGTCTAAAATATTTCTCTTGTGTTATGTAGGTGTTAAAGTCATGGACAACAGAAATCGGATCGGGAAGATAAGTAATATAGAAATAAGATTAAAAACAGCAAACACAGTCTCATTTTCTAGTTTGCACTAAGAGAAAAATGAAAAATTTTGCATTTATATTGACATTTGCTCGACAGAATCAATTATTTTTCTGTAAGCTTCATAAAAAAGATCATCAATCGGGCTGAACTATGACACTTCGGATGACGGTAAGCTCTTTGTGTACTTGAAAACCATCAAGTGTACTTGTGAAAAGGAAATATTCGGCCCACCAAAATAGAACAATCTGATCGTTTTTCTGACCAGCTTTATGAGACAACATCTCTAATTTTAACGATAAAAGAAAAGAGAAACTCGCACTCAAATTTAAAAACCTTTCAGATCTGTTTCCAAATATTTGAAAATCTGATTTGATTGTTTAACAACAGTTGCGTGTAAAAACTTTTTAAAAGAACCAAAAAATGTCTCTTACGTTCATATATAGAATCTCACCTTATTGACAGTACTTTTGAGAAGAATTATTAATTAATAAAAGCTTTGATTAGTTGATTTGTCACTTCTTTGTCACATGATCTGAACTGATTCAAAGAAATTCTCTCATTTGCGACGATTAGAATAGCACCATAACAGCTATTTATAGTCAAGGGCACTATAACAAGTTCTTATTATATATAAAAGATGAATTTCTTCTAATCTCAAATACACTGAATAAGATAAATCAAATATTTCCCCCAGATAAAGGCGATCTTTGTAACATTGGACACAGCGTGGCTTGTGGTTCAAAAAAATGCAGTAGATAAGGGATTGTTATAAAAGAGACAGGGTCAACAGAGAACATTCAACCTTTCAACGCACACAAGTTATGCTCTCGCTTCTGCTTTTCGTTTTGTTTTTGATCGGTTTGTTTGAAATTTCTGTTTATTCACAAGACTTAAAACTTTAGATTAAATATTTTTTGGATAACAAGATTGTAAGATTTGACTAGTGACAATAAAATCTAACTATGAAACTGATGAATACTTGTTTTCAGGCGGTACATCAGCTGCCTCATGCATCGACTGTATCTGTCAACATGAATCGGGTTGTGCTCCGATTGGCTGTGAAATGGATTTGGGATCGTTGTCGTGTGGATACTTTCAGGTTAAAAAAAGAACTAGACTAATAGATTGTTTCAGATCAAGCTCCCCTATTATCAAGACTGTGGAAAGCCCGGGCAGAGAAATGGGGAATCGGATGAGGATGCTTGGAAGAGGGTTTGAGAAGAAGGAACTTTTCAACTTTCAAGTTTAGATGTTCCGATGACTACAATTGTGCGCTGACCTGTGTGCAGAATTATTTCGTCCGCTATCGCTCTTTGTGCTCAAACTTTAACTACGGTGACTGTCAACAGCTCTCCAGGATTCACAATGGAGGTGAATTTTTGAATCAATTTAAGAGAAATACTGCTAGGCAATTATTAGGTTGGCGGGAAAATAATGCGAATTTTTAACTTGTGCTCTTTGGAAAGTAATGGCCGACAAACAGAGAAAACCGCGATAGTAACAGAGAAGCAGAGTGTGTTTGCTTACACAATCATAATATTATTTGAAAAGATTTGTTCATTTGTTATCAAAAAATGACGGAACAAAAATTCCTTATTCGAGCTGCTTTACTCTATGACTTTAGGCTTGGAAAATCTGCCCGTGAATCGCATAATTCTATTTCAAAGGCCTATGGCGAAGGTAGTATTAGCGAAAGCCAATGTTATCGATGGTTTTTGCGATTTCGAAATGGAAACGAGAGCCTAGAAGATGAGCGTCACGAAGGACGTCCTCAAAAGCTGGATGAGTCTCAACTTTTGCAAATTATCGAAGAATCCCACTTGCATCACTCGGGAGTTGTCGGAAATGTTCAATATTGATCATAGCACCATTGAAGAGCATTCACATTTGATTGGAAAGTGAAATAGATGCGGAAAATGGGTCCCACATGAACTGACCTTTAATCACAAAATTTCCCGTATGAACACTTGTTCAATTTTGATTCAAAAATCAAAAGCACATGATTTTTGGAAATCGATTATTACTTCTGATGAAACGTGGATATTATATGATAACGTTAAGCGCAAGCACCAATGGCCAGACCAAAGCAAGTCCCGGTTGTCATGTCAAAACCTGGTCTGCATGGAAGGGAAGTTGATATTGTGCGTATGGTGGAACTATCGTGGATTGGTTTATTTTGAACTGCTCAAACTGTCATATCTGAACTTTACAGTGAGCAGTTAGAGCGTGTGAATCAAGCTTTACCGAAATCTCGACATGACACTTCAAAAATTCGATTTTTGCGTGATAATGCAAAACCGCACATGGCAAAGATGATCCTCCAACAAATCGAAGAGCTGGGTTGGAAGCTTCTACCTCACGCCCCATACAGCCCTGACTTGACCCCATCAGACTATCACTTATTCAGGTCTCTAAAGCAGTTCATCCCCGATCAGCTGTTCAACGATTTCCGGGAAGTCGAAAATGCGGTCACCAACTATTTTTCGTTAAAAAGTCCCCAGTTCTTTGAAGAAGGAATTATTGAATTGAGCAAAAGATGACATAATGTCCTAAATAATAATGGAGAATACCTTTTATATAAATCCTCTTTATTTATTGTTTTTTTTTTAAAATAAAAATTTGGGTCAAAAAAATTCGCATTATTTTCCCGCCAACCTAATATTTTTAAACATAAGGATTACAAAAGAAAAGTATACAATGAGATTTATGGGAAAGGCTGAAAGATTTGTCGCTTTCATTGAATGATCTCTGTTAAACGCTAGAATTTACTAACTTCTAGTAAAAATTTATAAATAAAAGCATTTTACAGGACCCTACGGCTGCTCAAATTCTCGCACCGATGTCTACTGGGCTTGGGTGAAGAATTGCTGTGGTTGCTCGTAAACACCTTCAACCATCTTTCATTGCTGTAAATAAATCATTTTTATAAGAGCTCTGAAAGTTCTGAAGGAATGAATCAAAAAAACAACCCAGTTTTCCGTTTTCCCCTCTTTTTAAAATTATTTAAGGCGTAATCTACAGAGTTTTCAACAATTATGGTGACTTCTTTTTAGAAAACCTTTGATACCGAAAAAACTTTCCATAGAAAGTAAGATGTATTATATACCATACGAAAGCTCTAATTTTCGGCATCATTAGATACTAAAGATTTCTCGTTCAAAGTTAATTTTTAGCTCTTAAAGCACTTCGGACTGAATCCACGCCAAGTATCCGGAAACATGCTGCCATTTTTCGTGGTTTTGAATGTAAGGAGTCTTTCGAAAAGCTTTTTTTCAAGGGAAAACCCTTTTCATAAGACTTTTGATTTGTAATAAAACCAAATCCCAATCAAATCTGTGCAAATTCCTTGTTAAAACAAGCTCACAACCTACCGCAAACCCCACCTTTTGATGAGTAGAGAAATTTGCGTTTTTCGGGATGCCTGGTTCTGCTGACCGAGGCACTTTTAGAATGTCATTTTAGACTTAAATTATTGAATTGGATTTATCTTGATAAAATGCGTACAAATTTAAGCATGCTTTCAGTTTTTTTTTCCATAAGAATTTAAACCTAGAAAATCATTGAAAGGTATTGAGTTGAAAAGGGAGCTGATGGTCGAATCAACTCAACTCTTTGTGTTCAAGGGAAAGAGGATTTGATTGACAAAGAAAAGAGAAGTTCATTCTTTTCCTACACTCAAATCCGCCTTTTCATTTCTCCATCCATATGTTGAGGAATTGAGGCAGATTACTTAAGAGAATCCAGGTCTAAATCTACAATCTTACCGTAATCTGGATAACTCACTAGCTTGATTAGAAATAACTCTCTTGACTTTGCGTTACAAATGGGTTTGTTTTCGATTAAAAACTTTATTCTGTAGTATTCAAAAATAAAAGAAACTATCCGCTTTCATTTAAATCATCAGTGCTAAAGTCGTTCAACGAATCCTTGATACTCTTCTTCTGGCTCTGAAAATATAGTCGATTACAGAAAATTTGTTTTAAAAGCAAACCATTAGGGATGCTCAGCTCGATTTCTCGTTTACTCCCCCATAACTATGGGGAAATCGAAAATGATTGAGCTGTTTTGTTGTTTACTTGAGAACACTTTGATCTGAAAAGAAGTTTTTCGATAAAACTTGACAACTTACCTTTAGAGAATAGCTAAATCGAATGATTGCACACTCAAAAGAGGCCATACTTTTGGGGAAGAGAAATGGAATGGAAAGAGACCCATGAGAGTTTTCTTTGATACAAATTGACTAAACAAAGGCTTGTTAAGATAAACTTAAACAAGACTAATAACATACAGCTTGTGTCTTGAATGTCGACGTATATGATTTGTGCATTTGATGGAAGTCCCCTTTCGGCCCATCACCCAAGAAACGATCATCGATTGAGAATTCTTTGCCTTTCTTCAGAAAAGCCACATATTCTGAGTGTTTTTCAAGGGAGACCTCGAGCTAAAGCATGTTTTTCTTAGCTATGAACAAAAATGAGAACTTGATCGATAACTTTGTTTGATTGATTGTTGATGAAAAGATCGATAACGAGGTTCTCATCGGAAATGAAACCCTGACGAGGGATTGAGGCCTGGAATTGAATTTGGATTCTGTTTGGCTTTTAGCAACCGTTGACAACTTTTTTCAAGTGTTCACTCACCCTAACCACCATCTCTTCTCCTTTATTTTTCTTCTTCAACAACCCTCCACCACTAAAGCTCAGACATTTCTCCTCACTCAGCCCCTCATTCCAGCTCTTTTCTCAATCCCAAATCGACAATTGGTGCGACGAGGAATTCCTGAATCGATATAAATCTACACTTTCCCTTCCCCTATACCTTATTTGTCGTATTTCCCATTTTTATCATTGATAAACCCTTCTTCAGCAATCCCAATCCCTCAATTTCCACTGTTATTGAATAAGTAATCTTTCCGAGTTTTGGCGCCGAAATTAGAATTTTTGGTGGCGCCTCGTCGAATGAGGGCAAACAGCGATCGGGTAGATAAAAACTGAAAGAGTGGAGATTAGCTTTTCTAAGGGAAAAGGCAAGGAAAGCCCAAACAACACCTAAGAATGGAACGTTTTTACTAGTAAAAATTTGAGGCGAAAGTTTTTTCTGGAGTTTTGAACTACACAAGAGTTACCTGAACGGGATCCTCTTCTCGCCAAGCAGCAATTCTCCTTTTCCCATCAACAGCTTCTTCTCTTTCATCACTTGTATTTCTCCATTGAATATCTCGATCACTTGCCCATCATCCATTTCTTTCACGTTGTCTTTCTCTTTTCCATTCACCATATCATAGCCTTTCTTGGCGAGTTTTCCCCCGGTCATCACTTGATTTGGACTCAATTTTATCGGGCCAACACCGAATTTTGTGTTCCCGAGGAAGCCGCCGGATTTTTTCTTTTCCCTGAAAAGATTAAATCATTTAAGAAAGCTTGAGATAAACCCACTTTTCATCGATAGACACCGAGCCAATCGGTTTCGATTTTTTGGTGTTCTTTCCTGAAGTGAGCTTTATAAATGAGTTTTTGTTCCGATTTAATGGCTCTTACTGAAATTGTCCCTTCTCTTCTCGTATCTCCCAATGTGTCTTGACCAATCCTTCACATTTCGCCGTGATCCCCTTAATCTTCATCGGCTCTTTTGTCTAAAATTTTTGATTTTAAACGGAAAATAAATTGAATAGTATCTGTAACAGGCTTATAAAAAAGGAAAAACCATCAAGAATTTCCATATCAATTCTACCTGAACGACGAGAATGGCCTCGATTTTCTCTCCTTCATGATAAACGGCCGGGTTTTTCAACAGCTCGATTTCAAGTTTCATTCCTGAATTGAATCAATGACTTGCATAAAAAAAGAGAACTCATTTCTCGAGTAAAGAATTCTCGGTTCAATTCGTTCAAAACATTTCCCGGGATTGATAGCTGTAATCAGTTATCGGTGAGAGTCGACAAAAACTAGTAAAGAAGCTATTAGAGAGAAGTTATCTTGGAAATAGAAACTGGATGGACTTTAGAAGATTTTCGAATGGGAAAAGAGTGTACTTGGGAAACATATTGTGCTTTGCTTTATTTTTGACTCAAAGTGCTGACATTTTTTTGTTTTTTCAATCAAAGAAATGGTTTAATTGTTAGGCTTTTTGTAGGGGAAATATCTGAATAGGGTTATTCATTGTGCTATGGAATTGTATTCATTTTATCGATTCTAAATGATTTCTAAATGAATCAGCGACTGAGCCCTCTCACTAAGCTTATTTGAGGTTTTTATGCTTGAAAATGATTGAATTTTGCTTAATTTTTGAACGATCTCTCGCCAACCAACGCTTGACAAGCAGTTTACTATGTTTACTTTATTGAAAATATAATATTTTAAAAGCCACATCAGTTAAGCATAAAATACCATTTACAAGCAAGAAATTGAATTTGAAATCAAATTTTGTACAGCAAAGTGATTTCATTTTCATTGTTTCTCGTTCTCCGCCTCGCAATCTTAGTGAACGAGCTCGAAATTCCACTCACTCTCACAACTGGGTTACTCAAAGACTCATTCAATTTCCGTTTAGCCAAACCTTTGAACAATTTTGATTTTTTTGTGCTCCAGTTAAGCTAGTTTCTAAATCTTGTAAAAGAACCCGATTCTCGATTTAGAAATTCAAAAAAACGGTGGCCTCATCATAAATGAAACGAGTCAATGTGACCGATGAGCCGAGATTGCCCAGGAGGAGAGCTCAGTTCAATGACTATACATGTAGATTGGCTACGAAACGAACCTTGAAACACTTTTTGGAAACACAGGATAAAGTCGACTTTTGCTTCTGCTTTATCATCACTAAAAATTAATGTATTAATGTGAGTTTTGTTATTTTTACGAAATCTTACTTGCTCATCGGATGACATCGAAAATCGACACAAGCACGGAAAAAGCCTGAAAATTTATCGAATCTTTTGGCATTACCCGTTTCAATTCCATTTTTGTCGGTAAACTCACAAATGGCCAGTTTTGAGAGCTGAAGCTTCAAATTTAAATAATTTTCATTTGAAATTTCCAACCTCCGAATCGATTTCCTTGATCGATTTGTAGAAGTTGTTGAGTGTTTTCAGCTTTTTCTGCTCAATTTCAATTAGAAACCAGTTTTTCGATGAACACTTCATCATCAGAATCAGCAAAAGATTTTTTGATCACAAACATACCGAATGGGAGGAGTCTGTGATCTCGGAATTCTCCAGTCTTTTATCCCACAACAAGAACGGAGAAAGGAGAAAAACCAAATTGAGTTTAACTTTACTATTGGGATTTTCCCAAAATAGTGTAAGGTATCAAATATTAAACTAACTTTACAATAAAGCATTAATAGTATGACTTACCCATTGCCTTCTCGAACTCCTCGTCCGCTTCGTCACTTGTGTCCGGAAAAAAAGTTGGATTTTCTGTGATTGCGGCTCGATTCACTGTAGTCGTCAAATTTTTGTTTTTCAAAGCCGAGTGTCATCTTCCGACCAAACATTGCTTCAAATGGCGAACGTCCGATCCTTCGATGAAATCGCCGATTCTTCATCGATTGCACAACTGGAAGAATTCAGGCCCACCTTGTAGATTTCTCTTCACGTAGTTGAGTGCAAGGATTCTCTAAATGCAATATTGTTTTAGCTAAAAAATGTTCATTCCGCACAACTAACTAACCTCAACATCCTGATTTGCTCTTTCAATGGGTCCTTGTGATTGCGAGTGTCGTGGTCCCCCGTGCACAATTTGACACCCCTGACCAACGATCCACTAATTCTTTAACCTAAAAGACAAAAGTTATTGAAAAAATAGATAAATGTAATAAAAATAATTTAAAAAATCTTACCATTTTGTTGGCAAATTCGCGCCCATTGTCCGACTGCAAAATCGTTGGCGCTCCAAAAAGTCCCAAATATCTCCATCAAGTGATTCACCACCTCAAACGCTGTTATAGATTTTAATGCACGAAGGATTACAAATCTTGTGAGATGATCCTGGTAAATCATCAAAAACTTGTAGTCACCGTCGGGCACCGATTGAAGGTCAACCAAATCGATTTGGCATCGCTCATTTTGTTCTTGTCACAATTGATTTGATAACAATTCCTTTCTTGGGTATACCCTTCTTCAGCTCGCATTCATTACAAAGCTTGGCCAAAATTTCAATAATCTCCTTTGATATTCCATGATAGTCGCGAAGTTCCTTCCACATAATATCGCGTCCAGCGTGTCCTAGTCGTTTGTGAGTATCCATCAGTAGATTGAAGAGTTCCTCCTTCTTGACCACTCGCTTTGGTTGATTGTTTTGTCCGATTCTGTGACTGTAGAGATTCGCCTGGTCCTGTTCGTATCGAAGAGAGAAACGATTTAGCAAGTTGACATCATCGTGTGATTTTTTTCTTCTCATCGTTTCCCTCGCTGAATTCTTTGATTTTCATAACGATTTCATTGTATTTGTAAGCAGACGGTACCAAAATCTTCTTTCTTTGAGATTGATATTGCGTGAAGGTTTCAGCAAATCGATCCTCCATCCTAAAAAGAAAATTTAGTCCGATGAAAATATAAAGATAAAAGTTTAAAACGTGAAAACTCTTAAACTTTGTTCGAAAGTATAAAGCATGATTAACAAGTGGTAACTAGTAGCGTCTTACGGTTCAAAACATTTTACTTCTGGGTCGAAATGGGAAAGTTGCCGATCCGTACTCGAACTGGGGGAATTGGGGTTTTACCAACTACAACATAAAAAATAATTTGGATTTGACGACAAATTTCTCGGAAAAGCTACTTTTTATTCATAATCGGCTAGTCGATTATGATTTTCGCTAGCGAAATCATTTGATTCATAATCGGCTGCGACATATATTAGGTTGTCCGGAAATAAATGAGCGTTTTGTATTGTTTATGATTTGGGTACATTGAAAGCAAGAAAAAAGGAATTTCTCGAGCCGTTGTCTCCGATCTCTTCAAATGCGATCCTTCGACCGTTTCTCGCATTGTTTCAAAAGTAAAAACAACTGGACTTATGCACCGAAGAGAGAAGAAAGGACGGCCAAGAAGAACAACAGCAAAAGAAGATCGAATACTTGTGATGGCTCCCAAGAAGGATCCGAACATGACATCAACTGAGGGAGCTCGGCTGATAAAGGATGTTGCAAACAAGGATATCTCTCGATGGACCGTTTCTCGACGATCGACTCAAGCAGGACTGTATAGCCGGAGGGCTGTACGCAAGCCTTTGATGACCGCTGGCCACAGGAAACAACGGCTTCTATTCGCCAGGACGTACCAAAGTTGGACAAAGCAGGATTGGACCAACGCGATTTTTCTCGACGAAACAAAAGTGGATATCTTTTCTCCAAAAGGCAACCACTTGATCAGACGACCCATTGGAAAGCGAATACTCCTTAAATATGTGCGACCTACAATGCGAGCTGGCGGAGGATCAATCATGTGTTTTGGTAAGCCTTGTTTCTAATACATGCATTAATTTGTCTTTTTCTAGGGGCGATGACAAAAAATGTGGCAGGTCTGCTAGTCCTCGTCCAGTCAACCATGAATACTCGCCAGTATATGGAAATACTAGAAGGATATCTACTTCCATTTGCTCAGGATCACATGGCTCCTTGATGGTTTTATCTACCAGGACAATTCGCCGGTCCACAAGAGCAAGCTCATGATGGGCCGCACGGTGAATCTCTCAAATGGAGGAAAAGCTCATCTCCCTGGATGTTTTGCCCTTAATAATGTTCTGTTCGTCAATGTGCCCCCTATGTCGCCTGATTTAAACGTTATTGAAAATTTATGGGCTTACGTGAAGACGTTATTACGAGGAAAAGACTTTCACACAAAAGTTGACTTATGGTCCTACATACGAAAAGTTTGGAGCTCAATTCGACGATCCAATTGAGAAATGAACAAAAATGTTTTTGTTTTTGAATAGAAAACATTACATCTTAAAGAATAATTTTTAAAAGTTGAAAATCAGACTTGAGAAGACGTGAAAAAAAAAGGCGCCCAATTTAACACTGAGCTTCCTTGGGCCGGAGCACCCCTTTAAATATTCCTCAAGCAATTTCATAAATTCTTCAATTTTTGCCTCTTCAAAGAAAATGAGAGGACCTACTCTCGTTAAAGTTTTTGGACGAGAGAATTTCTGGAAGGTTTTAATCATGCATTATAAACATCACAAAGATTAGCATACCACAAATTACAAAGATGTATTGCTTGATGAACGCTTTCGAAACGGTCAGTCCATAGAACGAATTGAGAGATGCCACCGGTCAAGCACATCGACTCGTTGATAGAAAATAACGGTCGATCTCCGAGCATGACAATTCATTGGGAGAAACTGGAAATGAAAAGAATTTCTAACATTTTTAGACTCTGATTACAACTAATGACTTTTAATTATGTAAGGCCCAGCTTCTTATTAGTAATAAAATGACGAACAGAGAGTTTTGTGGAGTTGATGCATGATCAATTGTGCCTCACCGTTTGTCCGTTTCCAGCGATCACAATCTGATTCCAATTCATCGGAGAGCTTCTTGTTCTTCAAAATCTTCTAAAAAGTTTGTGATTCCCATTCCACAAGTGGCAAATTGTGATTCTGAAGACGTTTAATCAGTTTCTCTTTAAAAACTTTTGCATACCGGTCGTCAACTGCTCGCTTCTGATATAAAGGTAGCCTTTTGTGGACGTTGATTGATCAACTGGACTCCTGAATAACGATAGTAATTTGTGTTCTCAAAAAGTTCCCAGGTTCCCATGTTTATACGGGCGGCCACCCTTAGTTTTTGGATATCTTGAGTTTTGTTAGTAGCGTGCAACCGTGCGTGAGGCTGTTCAAGACATGTTTTCGAATCGGGAATGAATCAAATCGAATCAAATAGGATTCTGTTGAATGTAAATTATCAACTCCATGTTTGTGAGACGTGTTATAATGCTTCTTTTGAAATGTTTATCGTTGGATCAATAAAACTGTAGAAGAATACAAAAACTTTGTGATAAAGACAGGAAAATATAAAAACATAAAGAAGAATATAAAAACTTTGTGGCCAAATCAGGAAAATGAGTGAAAAGTTGAGCTTAGTTTTAGAAAATGTTTTTGTTTGAGAGTCCTTTTCATAAGTTGGTTCAATCGTTTGCAAAAAGTGTTTATTCTCATCACTCAAACAAGTCACTTATTTCAACTGTGTAGTTTCAAAGACAGATTAACTAATTTCATAAATGGGTATCACAGTAGCCACGTATCTATAAAAGTTAAACAGAATGGGAAAAAAACGACATGTTATCAATAACGAAATATGAATCACTGGAGCTTACACCTAAAGCTTACAGCTTAAACGATCAAATGTTTTGAGTTGAAAAATTTTAAAAATCTACCAGCTAGTGTTGAAAAAGAAAAAGATGTCTAGTGAAAGAGTAAATGCAAAAAAAGAGATGAGATTGGCGCACCTCTCAGCTTGATTTAATGGATTTTGGGTTACCGGTGATTGATCGTCGAATCGATTGTCAAAAGAACGAACAAAATGAATCTTCACGAAGCATCTCTTGTATTTCTCCCATTTGGACATAATGTGACATTGAAGCTGAAGTATTTCACAATCAATTTTTTCACTGTTTTCCCTTTTACCTTAACCTCTTGCACATTGGAAAGTGTCGTGTTGATGCTAAAAGAGAATTGAATCAAATTCAAAAAATAAGTTGTTATTTTAAAGAAGCTAACTCGCTATCTATCCAATCGTCGCCGAAATTCTTCAAATATTGAACCGAGATTTGACCGAATCCCATAGAGTTTGTTTGAAACGATATGTTGACGGGGAAAAGATCTGAAAACAAACAGAATATGTTCCCTTTTAATCGAGAAGGAAAAACAACATGACGTTTGTTGAGCACTCAGTGGGTGCATTGTGATTAAGCCATGTGCACTCGTTGCAGCTGTTGTTATCAAGTCTCATCTGTCTGCTACCATAACAAGAGAAATTTCATACAATAAAAATTATCTTATTATCTTATCTTCAAAATTTAATACCATAAGTTTGATGGTTTTCACACAATCTTGCTACCGGATGCCTTGTAAAGTTTGGTACCAAATCAAACCGAATCAAATCGAACAAATTTTCCGACTTCGATCCGAATCTGGGCCGGGACTCGGTTAAGTGCAAATGTCTACAGTTGAAGAGAAGAAAGATAAAAAGGATAAACTTGACCGCAAAAATAGTCAGCGTCTATTTGGTACAACGGGACACTCGTTTGATCCTCGAGAACCACGAGAAACACCGTCCCACCACAATTACGAAGTCTCGGGGTCGCGTCGGTGCCTACTGTACGAGAAAGATATGAAACAAGCAAAAAGTGCTGTCAAGATTTACAGGAATATGTCATGAGAGCAATACTTGGAGCACATCCAGGTGGTATGTAGATACTGTAGGATGGAGATGTGAGAGCTTGATCTTGAAAGACATCGGTATCACTAAAGACTCATGAAATGTGGATGCTCTTTTCTAAATCGGCTAAAAGCCTCTTCATCTAATTCTCAATAATTCAAATGGCTCAATTTTAGTATCAATCGATGAGGAATCACAATGCTCAGTCAGCTTCAATTCTTTGATTACTGCTGTTCTAGAAATTATGTGTCTTTTGAGGAGAACACTCTGTTTGAGACGTTAGCCGAAAAATTGAAAAACTTACCGATACGTGTTCAATAGAAGCTCGGGATGGCTAAGGAAGTTACTGGGTGGCCCGTTCACTATTTGATACTCGCACGAGCGATTCCCGTGATCCTAAAAGACAGTTTCTCCAGGCTTTTGTTGAAAACCAGTCTGCAGTAAACAGGAGGTCATTGCTCCAGTACTCTTTATGATCATCGTTCAATGTTTTGTTAACACTACTTGCATATCGTGGAAAGCAATAAATAACTTAAGACCATAGCTTGGCTTTCTCTGTCAAATTTCCTCTGTTCTCCAGAGGAACTAAACGTTAAATCTGCTTACTCCGCGAAATTTCCTCAGTTGCAGGATTTTGTCGAATGCTAAAACCATCGAAAACCAGGTTCCGCGTGGCGACTCGTCGAATCGAAAGCCGAATTCACGCATGTGAAGCAAATTGTTGACGGGCAAGAAGAAGAAATTCGTCTCATCTGAAGGAAAGGGAAATTACTAGACATGAGTATTCGGTCCAACTCGATCACAACCGAAATTTCGTAGTTTTTTGTAACTTTAATCCTGTTCAAACTGGCCAGAATTTATCATTAGATCATCTCATTTTTTTTGTCAGCAATCGATCTTGAACTTTGTGGTGCTGTTCGGATTCAAACCGGTGTGAGTGTATCATTTCAAAGTCACACACTAGCCAAAACGACATGCAAGCCGTCACCCAACTGATCGAAAAAACACGAGAATTCCGAATGCCACTCCTCCTGGTGTTCATCGACTACAAGAAGCCATTCGACTCAAGTGGAACACGGCGCGTTGACGCAAGCCCTTCTCGACGCAGGGATTGACCTCGGATATATCCACGCCATACAAGACTGCTACACAGAGGTTACCACCACCATCAAGATGCTCGAGAGGGAAGTTCATATCCCGATCAAGCGCGGGGTTCGCCAAGGAGACACCATCTCGCCCAAGCTCTTCACCACAGTTCTCCAGTATGCCATGAAAGACCTCGAGTGGGAAGACTACGGCATTCCGGTAGACGGCAGGAACATCACCAACCTACGCTTCGTAGACGACATCGTGCCCTGCGCCAAGACACCAGAAGAAGCCCAACGGATGCTAGAAGACCTCGACCGAGTCAGGAAGAAGATTGGCCTCGAGATGAACAAGAAAAAGACTCAGAGCATGAGGAATGCATGGTGCCCACCTGGAGAGATCAAGCTGGAAGGTCAACCGCTAGAAGAAGTCACCTCCTACACCTACCTCGGAAGAAGCATCAACATGGAGGGAGACCTAAGACCAGAAGTCGCCAGAAGAAGACGAGCGGCTTAGACAGCACCAGGAAGCATCAAAGAAGTCACAAAGATACTCAAAAGTCGCCAGAGAACTCGGGCACACCTCTTCGACAGCACCGTCCTCCCGGCACTCTGCTACGGGACAGAGACATGGGCCACGACACAGATCACTCAACGAGCCCTGAGAACGACGCATCGAGCCCTTGAAAGGAACCTCCTCGGGTACAATAGGAAGACGCAACTCGACCAAGACCTAAGAAGTACGGATATGCGCCAGCTCTCGGGACTCAGAGATCCAGTGGAAGTGATTGAGAGAAAAAGACTCAGATGGGCCGGTCACGTAGGCAGAAGAACAGCTGACAGATGGATGATACGGATCACAGAGTGGATACCACGAGGCCAGAAGAGGCCCATCGGAAGACTAGCAATGAGGTGGAGCACAAGAGTGGCAGAGACGGTCGGAGAAAGGATGGCTAGAGTGCAACCACCACCAGCACAAGCACGTCGAAGATTTCGAACCAGGAACAATCAAGATAGGAAACACTGGATGACAATAGCAAGAGATCGAGAAATGTGGAAGCAGGTTGTGATCTGCGGAAATAGGAACACCTGAGTGCGAAGACAGATCGAGAAAAAAACACTAGCCAAAACGAAAACAAACACTCAAAAGCGTTTACAGAGAACAATTTTTGTAGGACAATGGAGGACAAAAATTGTTCTCTGCTAACGCTGTTGAGTAAACAAACCGAGCGTTGTGTTGGGCAATCGAAATGAGTAGCCCCCATAGAAGAGCCCGAAAATCGGGATTCGAAGCCAAATAGACGCGACTTTCTTTGATCAGACGAGCCTGTAGTAGAAAAAATACACGTCGAGATGTGTACCTGAAAGAAAAGTCAAATGAAAAACAAAGAATGGTCACCGAATCTCCCAATCTTTGATTTCTGGACGTTCACCGTTGATTGTGTATGGGGATGAGTTGATGCAATGGCTCTAGAAAAAGAGGAAAACAAATAAGAGTGGCACTTTTCTGATACCTTATCCTCAATGTAACAAGCAAACGAAAGATCAATGATGATCGGACAACTCGAAGCATTTCCACATTTCCTCTCCACACAAATTGGCTTCACACCAGTCGCTTTTTAAATATGATTTCAAAAAAGTGTTTGGACATTTGGTGGGCACAAAATTTGCATTAGAAACATCTCTGCTTACATTTTAAAGACGCTCATCAAGTTAACACACTTTCAGGACAAATCGCTGAATTTTCTTTAAGAATTATCAAAATGACATTCATCTGGGCCTATTTGCAAGCAGTTAAATGTTGATTTAACTTTAACTAAGCCGAAGCCTAAGCCTAAGCCTTAGCCCACTAGAACACCAGTACCAAAAGACGAGAGAAATAAACGCACCCTCTTGGATGTAGATATTTTCGACGTGGAGGAGAACTTGTGGGTTCTCGGTGCTCAACGTGTGTGTCAGCTTGCATTCGACGAGTTTCGGATCGACCGGCGCTCCACTCGCCTTCACCACAAAACCAAAACGATCTTTTGTGCCATTTTGAAGGGGACAAAACTCGAGCTACAATATTTTCCAATCCAATTATTGCTTTTTAAACGATCTCACATGAAAGCATTCCGCTGAAACGGCGACTTTTTGTTGATCGACGAGACTGAAATGATCTCATTTTTTGTTAAACCTCTGCTAATCTCTGCCACAAACTCGATGCTTTTTTGATTCGATTTCCGGATTTATGCAAAATCCCTTTTCATCTGGATCTGTGCCATAAAACAGTTTCAGAGTACCGTTTTCCAATTTGATCACATCAATGGCGATGCGGCGCTCGGTTATTGACTAAAATTCACACTGCACAATCGTGGGAATGGTATTTTTGGTCTAGACGTCTATAGGGAGTATAATGGAAAACCCTTTATGCTCAACTATTCCGCAGAATGACAGAGTAAACCTGGGAATTTTCGGCTACATGTCTATAGGAGCATAACGGTAAAACACGTCTCTTTTATCCACAACTTTTTCACAAGTTCTTTTCACTATTAAATAAAATTTTAAAAACTCGGTCAACCTACGGAATAGTTGAGTATAAAGGGGTCAACTACGTGCTCCTATATACATCTAGACCAAAAGACCCTGTTTGTTTAAAATCCCCACAATCAACGACGAGAAATCGGCTCGTGCCCGTTGACATTGTGGGTAATCAGTTGGATTATCGAAAGGCCATGGATAACTGTATGATGTAAGATAAGTTGGAAGATGATTGAGAGATATCTTCCGTGGCTAGCTTCCCCTGAAATCAAAAAAAACAGTGGAAGCCAATTCACAGACCCATAATATACCGTAAAAGTACATTAGTCATTGCCGAGAAGAGTGAAGACGGTGGATTTTAAATAGATTGTCTGTCCTCTGAAGATCTTTGGAAAATCTATTTTTTGAGAACTGACTGATCGAGGAGAAAAGTCAGAGACTCTCGCCATCGCAGACGGCGGATCGGATCCGGCAAAAGCGATAATAGGTGAAAGGCCAATTGCATGTGATGTCCACCTAATGGTAATGGAATTCAGCCATGTTTCAATCATCGATTAATGATTTTTTCTAAAAACGCTCAAGTTTAGCCAGAAATTCCAATTGGATTCAGCCGCAATTAAAGAGTTCTTTAGCCCAACTTCCTTACCCACGTCTTCATTGTTCAATTCTTATGGTTTTAATGTCAAGGATTTGTAGATCTTTTTCATGGGCAAGAAATACCAAAATAATAGAAATTAATCAATTTTTGTGAGTATGAAAAAGTTGCTGAAAAAATTGCACGATGCGTTGGGGATGTTGACCAACATTGAGGCTAAATCGTTAAGGGTATCGTGCTCACCGTAAAACAAAATGTATTGGTTTCGTATTGATTCCTGAATGGTCGGTCGAGACCGTTGCATTATAAGCCAAAACGTTGATTCTTGAGCTCACCTCCTTCAGCGGGAGCGCTTCCTCCCCCACATCGTCGAATCGACCTTGCAGCTCCAGAACAAGCGCTATATTCACGAGCGAACTTCTTTATAAAAGAAAAAGAAATCAGGTTTTTCTGGTGAAATTCGACAAACGGTGCTAGAATCGGATCGGTGACGAGAGTACCACCATCGTACCTTTTCGACTAAGAGTACTCGTCTCCCCTGACCGGTAGAACGAACATTGGGATCGACTCTAAAGTAAAAATCAACACTTGAACTCTCTTTGTTTTGAGAAAATGGCAAAGAAAAATTGCATATGAAAATTAGCAGTGTGCTTATCAAAAAAACAGGTCTGTTTATCCAAATTTTAATAGTTTTATTTTTAATATTAAAACGTCAGCTCGAAATTGGAATCACACCCCGGATTAACCCTAGTTAAATGTCCAACTGGTGAGCGTAAAGTTTGGTTTGGTAATATTGTATTAGGTAGGCTCCTAAGTCTTTACACACTTTTTTTTTCTACTGGCGTTTATAAATGACAACAAAATTATCAAACCTACAGTGTGGCTCTAAATAAAAT